AGACCATTTTTAAATAGAACAATTGAATCTTTAATATTAATGGTCGGGCTTTGTGTTATAATTTCATTGAATAAAATTGTAATAGAATCAAATTGTTTGTAGTACCTGATCGATTGGGATCAGATTAAAATAAATGTATTTTAAATAGTCGTAAATATAGAATGCTGATGAATTACTAATCCTCGAATAGATGTGCGTAATATAGAAAAAAAACTGTAAGCCCAAGGAACTTCACGATGTGATCACACCTTTGCCAGGTGAAAAATGTAGATGCAAAGTGGGAGATATAGGTAGATCGATAGTTACCCCACTCAAACCCGAGATTAAGTATGATTCTCAAAGTGAGTAATATGCAAAAGTTTGACATTGAAAATTTCTCTGTATCACAGTTGTTGTTGTTGTAACCTCTGTGGCTTGCTTTGTTATTATTGTTTTGCATGTGTTTTGCTGCTTTTCGCATACTTTTCATACATATGTACGTACGTATACGTACGCTCGATTTCGTAACGTGCAAAAATACGAGTTAAATGTGCGAGCGAGAGGGGGCTGTTGAGCGAACGATTTATCTCACAGCACGTGCCATTGCAAAAACAACACTGTTTGTTTTTAATGTTAAAGCAGAGCTCACCAGTGTGGGAAAGGGAAGGGGAAATATGACGGAAAGATTGTATGACAATCTGAGACAATTTATCGCCATGTAGTACTATCAAAACGTGGGGGAATACGGAGGGAGGGAAGGGTAGGGAACTTAGGCCGAGTAGGAAATGAAATGCAATGATAAGCACACAAACAGCACTATACATGCAAATATGCAACAGCAGAACAATCGAGAGATTGCTCGATCGGGCAAAGATATTAGTGCCCCTAACTTCAGTTCCGCTCTTGATCAGAAGCGCATTTTATTTGGTTACTAAGGAAGTGATTATTTTGGTATGCAAATTTCTGTGAATCACTACAATACTGTTCTATATCAAAACTATTAGAAATGTATGTATCATAAATAGGCCTCAACATATTTGAGCGGTTGATCATACCATTTCCTTTGTTATTAAACATTTCCGGCTAACTAAGTACCAAAATTTATAACAACACACTGACAGTTTCCCAAGATTTAAATGGATGATTTTTCTATACTTGTTCAGTATACAAAAGCATTTCTAACTGAGTCACAACCTTTGGCAAACCCGTCTTTGGGTCGCATAGTTTTAGATGGGTTCCCCCTTTCGCAGCTTTCACTCACCGTGGACCGCCGGACTGGAGCAGCTGCGGGTAAGCGCCGGTGGCCGTCCGCCGCCGTTCATTGCCGTGGAAGATGACGTCGTCGAAGTCACCTCGTCACATGCCAGATTCTCCCTGGACCGCTTGTTGGGATAGTCCTTCTGATTGGCTGATGAGAAAAACAGAAACCAGAAAATACGCATTAATTCGGCGGTTTAAAAAGCTGATTATAATTGTCGGTTAGCGATTTGCTTAATTTTATAACCAATGATGTCAGCACGGTCTGTTTTGAGTGGACCACAGTGCGAAACTTGTCGCGCCAGGTCCCCCGTCCAAATAAACCGCAAAAATATTTCGTTTAGATTTGCCGCCTGCCAAAACTGACGTAAGACATTTATTTCGGCTCAGTAGAGTTCGGCTGATTGCGACGGGTGAGAATGCAAAGCCAAAGTTTTCCACATTCACTTGAAGCTCAGAAGCCGCAATCACAATGAATAGGCATAATTATAAAACGCTTTGAAAGCGCGCCCGATACCGATTTGATAGTATTTTATAGTAACACACAAGCAACATGATACTTTGAAAAAAAATTTTAACAAAAGCTGCCAATAGCAGCAACTGAAGCTCATTTAATATGATAATGTAGTATTTCTGTGGTCACACGAACTCTGATTTAAAATTCTCATAATATGCAGTTAATTGTTTGATCTATCTAGTTATAATAGTTATTCTTCACTATTTGAATATTGTATTGTCCATACAGTTCTTTTTTTCTGTACATATTTAACAAAAATGTATTCATCTAATACGTATTAAGCTATGACTTGATTTTAAGCTAGTCCCTTCACTAATTTGAAACATAATTAACAAATTCTGATAAGATAACGAATGCTATAGTTTTTATTATTTTTCAAAGGGGTCTTATTATGTTGGACTGACTGACTTTACTTTATCAGCTGTACGAATAGGCATAGTGTCTTTTCCATGCACGAACAACTTGGAGTAAACTACTGAGATAGAAAATTGCTGTTATCAGCCAAGCGACCTCAAAAGCCAAAAAAATAACACAGAAAAAAAAGAAACAGCTACAAAAAAAATACAACCAACTTTTTACCGCGGCAGGAAACGTTGGTTCAGTTTTTTTCGCTGTTGTTGTTTGCGGCTAGTAAAACAAGTAAAATCGCATGCCAATAGTGCATTGCAAGCCCCCAGAGGCGTCTGGGCCTGGAATGTGTGGGTTTCAAAGGGGGCTTGAGGTGAAGAAGAGATGAAGGTAGAAGAAAATAGAAAACTGCTAATTAGTATGCAGTGGCTTGTTTACTTATAAAAACAAGTTATTAGCCAGTTTTCTCTTTTCGGTTGTATATCTCTTGTAATTTGATGGTCTAATTACTTTTAAAGACTTTTTAAATTACTAAATATTCGATATTTTGAAATTATGTTTATTAATCCGTATTTATTATTTATAATTTGTTTATTTGCCAACAAAGACAGATTTCTATATTTGCTGTTACTTTTTGTACAAGTACAAATTTTGTACATAAGTATTTTTGTATTTTTGTTGTTTCGCCATTTACGACTGTTCATATTTATAACATGTTTGTATATTTAAGAAATGTAAAATCCTGGCCAAATCAGCTTTTTAATAATATAGTTTAAATGGTTTTTACCTTCGTTGTTGACTTATTGCAAATTTAAAGCTCTAGTTTTGGATCTTTTCAAGGGGGTCACAGAAACCTTTTGCTGCAATGCAGTCCCCCGTTTTTACTCAGCCCCTGGCCCCCTGCAACTCTCTTTTCCTGCTCTCCCTCTTACTCGCTGGCTCCCAACTTCAATTTCAAGCTGCTGTTGCTGCGGCTGTTGCTTTTTCTCCTTCTGCTCCCCTTTTCCTCCCTTTTCATGCGTCTCCCTACTGTTGTTGTTGTAGTTAGTAAAGTGTGTTGTTGCTGTGCCGATGAATTCGTACTCGAAAGGTCGTTTCAAAGCGGGTTTTTCAGCGTTGCCAGGCCGCTTGAGAAACCTGCTTTGCTTTACATTTTTTCTGGTGTTTTTTTTTATTTGTACTTGTATTTTGTTGGATTTTTTTTACTTTACTTAACCAGCCAACAGAAACGAATCGAAACGCTTCTTTTGCTTTTATTTTTGAAAGACACGCGAATTGTGAGTCATGTATGGAGCGAAAAAAGTAACTCTGATCTCTCTCGAGTTGGTTTTTTTAATTTGTTGCTTTTTTTCTGTGGTAGAAATGAAATGGAGACGCTTACGTGTGTTCGCCCCCTCTCTTTCGCGCCCCTGCAAAAGTAAACAGCATACCAAGCGGTAAAAATGAAGAGAGGGAGAGGGATTAATTCGCTCTCTCCATCCCGCTCTCTTGCTTGATTGGTTTAAGTGTAATCTTTAATTGTATGATTTTCTTATTGCTCTTTATTTTTTGTTGTACTTACCACCAATGCGATTGTTGTTGTTGGTATTTTGGATTGGCATAAATAACAGAAGACACGGCGCTTCTCGCTTTATCCGCATTTTCATTTCACTTATATGACTCACGCTGTTGTCGTCTTCGTCGCACTCACAGCCGCCGTTGTTGCTGTTGTTCTTGCGTGCTGTTGACGTTGCCGTTGTAGCGTTGTTGTAGTGGCTCTTGTTGTTGTTGTTGTTGCTGCTCTGCGTTTCTCGATTCACACACATGTGCAGACACTAACTCACTCACACATTGGGCCTTTGGTTGTTTTAAAATTGATATATTTATTTTGTTGTTGTTGCTGCCCCGTTTAATCTATATGATTTGTATGATTTTCGGTGGGAGAAGGGGTTTTATTAGATAATCCCCGAGCCACTTGTTGAGCCAGTTCCCGTTATAATGTGTGTGCTGTAACCAGAAAATCAGGGGCCCAGATATCGAGTTTTATTTCCACTTGTAGCGCACGGACACTTTTTTTATTAATTAACCAAAAACGCGCGGGTTGTAGTTTTATTAGGGACTAAACTATTTATAGTCCAATTAGAAGTATCCTAAGATTCTGCTTCTTCTTCTTCACCCACGCACAAGTCAAGTTTTTGGATGAAAAATGTTGTTATATCCAAGTATTAATGTTTTTTAATATTTCCTAGCGATATATTTCCTAAGCTCTTCGCGCGGAGTTAAGTTTCTTGCCCGAACTGGTTGATCAAAGTTTAGAGACTGACAACCGTTCGAAGCGAAATTCAAAAGACGAATGAAAGCAAAACAAATGTGATAAAGAATATACAATGAAACTGCCCATTGGAGCTGGAACGATAGTATCGATATTGGTTTAGTTTCGATAGCAAACGATGTTGCCAGATTGGGCGGCAACGTAAATATGAGCAGAACGCGATGGCGGGACTTTAACGGTTATAATTTTAAAAAAGCCAAATTACAAAATTTAGTACTGGGAATTTACGGCATTGACTCACAAAAACTTTGAACAGAGCAATGTGAGCGTGTTTTGATATAGTTAGGCTTATTCTAAATGCTTTAAATTTGCAGATGAATATTATATGGTACTTGGCAATTCAGAAGGGCGCGGCCATGGAAAAGGACGGCATGGAAGATGAGGATGCCAAAAATCAAAATATTCAGTATTGCTAACTAACTATCTAGATTTTTTAAGCAGCTATGATTGCCCTGTTAAAAGTAACATTTAGTCTGGACTCAAACCATCCCCAAAAGGTGGTGCTTCATCTGATTGTTCTTGTATACTAATATTACTTTCATATATTGATACCCTATAAAACCATTCATAATTAAACATCTTTAAAACTTGGCTAAATATGTACCCATAACATTTATTAACTCTTAAAAACTGTACTGTAACGGTTAGCATGAAGTCAAATTTGTTTAAAAATACATTTATATTACATGAAAACAGATCTTAGTAATCCTGAGGTTTGCAGATCATCCAGTTGTTAATAAATCCGTATGTAGTTAAGATTAGTTGCCAAGATTGTGAGGTACTGGGGGCTTCCATCCTCCGAAGGCTCTCTCCAATTCCACGGCCACACGAAGGCACAGTCTATCCTGATTTGGAGCCCCAATCACGGAAAGTCCCACGGGGAGTCCACGTTCATTTACACCCATTGGCACATGGGTGACGGGCAGACCGAGTACGTTGAATATCAGGGTATAATCGACGCCCCAGAGTGATAGGATCGACCACTTGTGCCTCGGAGCAGGCAAATTCAACGTGGGGAAGAGCAGCACTCCGTTATCTCCAAGTAAATTCTGCAAACAGAAAATATATTATTAAATTGTATCATAAATTAATTCCTCACATAGAAACAGATAAATTTTTATTTTAATCAGTAGAAACTCTCAATTAGTCAAATTAAATAGGTAAGTATAGGTGTCAAAAATTATATATTTAAATAATAAGTACTGTTGTTTATCCAGTAACTATCAAAGAAAATGTACTAGACTATAGAAAAGCTAACTTTCTATCATTAAACTTGTTAAGCGACTTGAGAGTAGAACTCTAAAATGTGTTACAAAGGTCGATGCAAATAAAAAGCCCATAAAAAATTGTTGAGACATTGTATTAAGACTAGTTTCACTTTACGACACATGGGATTAGCCACAGTTTGCGTGCTCGCTAATTGATCACTTACCGCGAACTCCCCGATCAGACCCCTTGCTTCCTCCAGATACAAATGCAACTTTGATTGCGACATAAAGGCACCGGTGCGTCGCATAAGTTCAAATATAAGGGCGTTGGTTGTATATTTCGAGTAACCTCGTACGCTTTTCACAATCTCCCACAGAGTCTCACGGACCTTGCACGAACCCTCTGCAATTTCATCCTCTATTAGATAATCCATTAAATCCTGAGCGGCGATTCCAGCTAATGCCATCTCCATTGAATTCTCGAGATTGGGTAGTTTGGCTTTGTTCACATCTAAGCCGAGGGTCTTTAAATGCGTTGCAGCTCTGCAAATTGCATCTTGGATATCCCTATCCACAGACTGATGCATCCATCCGTTGATACCTTCAAAGCCCAGCGCATACTGCACCTTAATCCGATTCAGTTCGACGGGTTCGTTCAATCGCAGTTTTACTGAATTTTCTTTGCCTGCCATCACTTGGAGTAATTCGGATAGATCTCCAGCAAACCGGGTTATGGGTCCCTCCACCAGATAGTGTTCGATATTTGGATCTTTTGAGTTGGGGAAGTGCCCCTTCACGGAAACCACTCCTCCACTTGGTTTATGTCCGAAAACTCCGCAATACAAGCTGGGAATGCGAATGGAACCGCCAATATCTGATCCAATTCCAAAAAGAGAGGCACCAGCTCCATTTAAAGAACCCTGGAGTATTAAAATAAGATTATAAATTAAAAATGGTTCAACAGATCTTAATAATTCCACTCACTTCTCCACCAGAACTTCCACCCGGAGTCCGCTCAAAATCATAGGGATTCAGGCATCGGTTATTCAGCAAGGTGTCCGTCTCGATGCTAAAACAATATTCCGGGGTGGCCGAGATCAGTAGAGGAATAGCCCCAGCAGACCTCAATCGCTTCACTGCTTCACCATCAGCTTGGGCTTTGATATTCTTTCTGGACAGACTGCCCACGGCAAAGGTCATGCCCTCGAGGGCACATGATTCTTTAATGGTCACGGGAAGTCCCAGTAGTGGACGTTCTTCAAAGAGTTTCTCCACATCCGCTGTAGATGCGCAACTGGCTATGAGGTCATCGGTTTCAGTAGCTTCCTCCAGAGCAGCCGAAAACCGAGATTCCACCAGTGCGTTTAATTGTTTATTAACAGCTTCGATTCGTTCGATATAAGTGCGCACCAATTCCAGAGAAGTCAACTAAAAATTTAATTTAGTTCAAAATTTAGTAAGAAATATTGGATGATATGCTTGTTATACTTTTAAAACGCGTGGGCTGGCTTATCGCATTGAACTTTTTATGATAAGAAAAAAGTCATTCGAATGTATAAAAACTTTAAGAAAAATGTTATTTGAATGAATCAAAGCTTTATAATTTCAAACAAATGATAATTTCGTTCAATTGCTTATAATTAAAATTAAGCAAAATTATTTTAAGATAATAGGGCTGTATATTTTTAATGGTTTACTTTATTTTGTTGCGTCATTATTGAGTTTCTGGATAATAAAGCAAATTTTTAGTAATTAAAATTAATGTGTTTTTTTTTAATTGTTGTTGGTAATAAAAAAGGTTTATTTTAGAGAAAACAATAAACAAATTTAAACATTGCGAACATATGTAGACAAATTTTTATCTTAAAATTAGACTTTTGTTCATAAAAACAAAACTGTTAAATTTTGGATATTCATCACTACTAAATTATTTTAATGCCACAGAATTTTCATATACTTTTAAAGCCAATTTGGTTCTTGTTATGGAAGTTCGACTGTGAAGGTTCTCCCGAATATAAATGTCTGATTAATTTTATGTGCGCTGCTGTGGATCGCGTTATGTAAAAATATATTTACCTGGCGGGATCGAAGGCGACTGCGCAGCTCCTGCACACTCAGGGTGAGCAGGCGATTCCTGATCGGCGGTATGAGCGTATTGTCGGATTTTCGAGGATAAACGAATGCGTCCAGAATCGGTGATATGATGAAAGCTATCGCCTTTACTACGATCAAGATTAGTCGAAGAAATATTTCCATTGCGCACAAGAACCGATCGTGGCAGCGTCCGGGGAGAGAATGAAAACAAATGAGAGTCGATCAAGTCAGTCGGACTGGGGAATTAGAGAGCGGAGAATCGGAAACTTTCTAAGAGGGAATGGTGGTGATAAGCTGGAAGGGGCTGGATTTTGGGAGCGTTAAGTACGAAATGTAAACATTTTGGAAATGAGAGCGGGAGAGAGTGTGTATTTCGAGCTTACGATCAAAACGCACACAGACACAGTATAGCCGATTTGGCGTTGAATTACTTATACAAACCGTAAATGGTGCATTCAACATTTAGAATATTTAAATAAATTTAATTAAATTTAAATTTAAAACCACTTCTATACTATGCATTCCAAATTATAAATATTTGAATAAATTCGAATGTGTTGTTGAAGTACTAAAGTGACTCGGAATAAAAAACATGCATTTTAACTGAAATTAAAATACTTTTTTTTATGTATTAAGCTCTAGGTATTTCAAATTGATTAACTATTAATTCTTAATAGCTCATTTAAATTCCTTTGACGAGTTCTTTACAAAGTATTTTAAAGTTGTGGACCCAACAATATTTTTTTACAGATTGGTATCGTATTAGATACTATAAGCTTTAGCTTGAAATGAGTCTTTAGAAATCGATTACGGATGTGTTTAGACTTTAAGATCCTGGATTTTAATCTTGGGCGTCTTCGAATTCCTCCTCATCCGAACCGGATGAGCCCGATGACGGGCTCAACTCCTCTATGCGGTTAGGATTTGGCTCTTCCGGACCAACACCAGGACACTGGTAGAACACACTGTAACTGCTGTATGTCTCCTCCCTGCGGCCATTGGAGGAGTTTCCTCCCTGTTGATTGGAGATCCTGACTGGGTCAGTATCAGTTGATCCTATCGATGGTACAGGTGCGGCCCGTCTAGGGTTATTTCTCTGAAAGCCACCTCGTCGTCTGTTTCTGCCAAAGCCTCGAAATCCATTGCGGTCATAGGAACTCCAAACACCACGACGATGGCTATTTCCACGATTGCCACCACGATAAAGCATATTTCCAGAAAAATAAACATTTCCGAATTGATCATGTACATATCCAAATTGATCATATACATATCCAGGATAACCAAGGTATCTTGGTGTCACTTGTCGGTAGACCATATGACCATTCTAAAAGTATGAACACATTAAGGAAGTGGCTCAGGAAAACTCCAGGAACTCACATGAATTTCCCAATAAAACTGGTTGGGATAAGCCCACTGCAAGTTAGAACTTAATTATCGAAACTATGGGCAATAAATAATTGAAGTTCTTACATATTGATAGTTGAACATGTTCGTATTACCCATTAATTGCAATTCAATAGGAAATATCAAATCTCTGCAAAGCAAACACGCCGCTTTAGTTATCAGAACTTTCGATACATTTGATGCATTTCTAGAGTGGCCAGTTTTTGGGAGTCAAGATAGCCGCATTTATAGGCAATACAAATTTAAACCAACAGCTACAAATTACAAGAATATATTAAACGTATTGCACTTTAATCTTCACAAAAACTAAAACTTTCTATTAAATTTAACCTTGAACCTTAACTAGATAGATGACCGACCAGGGATCTTCACTTGGTGTCCGTGGCATGTGGCACTGGTGGCACCCAGCCGTGGAAGACGGCCTCCAGCTCGGCGGCGACCTTCAGACAGAGCTTGTCCTGGTACTGGGCGGCCACCACCTGGAGTCCAATGGGCATGCCCCTCTGGTTGGTGCCCATGGGCACATGTGTGGCGGGCAGACCCAGGATGTTGAAGAGCAGCATGTTGTCGATCCCCGTCACATTCACCAGGGATGTGTGGAAGCAGAGGGCGCTGGTGTGGAAGGTGGGCAGGATGAGGACCCCTCGAGTGCCAAGTAGTTGCTGTCGGGTATCAATAAGATATTTAAAATATAGCGTAGAATATGTGTACCATAAAGCGCACAGAAAAACCTTTTACTTTAAATTCGGAGAAAATTTATCCAAACAATTCTAGAACAAATCACTAGAAAATTTGTAAGTACTAAAAGTTTAAAATGATTTTTCTTTTGTGCATCTTAGTTAACTATCTCTTATTTACTCACATTCAAGTGGCTTTTGATCTTCTGGACATCTTCCCGGTATTCCTCCATATTGCCAGATGCCATCAGTCCATTGAAACGCTTCATCACCTCCAGAAACATGGCCTCTTTGGTAAAGATTGAGTGGCCTATGATACTGTTGAATAGCTCCACCATCAGCAGGCGCATGGAGGGATCTCGATCCGGCCTCTGGGTCACGATGCTGGGCAGGCCCTTTAAGTCCACCAGGGAAACTAAGCCAATCTCCAAGGAATTTGACAGGAACTTAAGGTCCAACTGAATAGGAAAATTATTTATTGTAAGGGAATATTCAAAATATCCTATTATCCTATTATTGAATATATTTCCTACCTTCTTGGACTGGACGCCTCCTCTTTCCAAGCACTTGACGGCTTTGATGATGGCCAGCTTAATATCGAAGTCCACCACGGGATGGGTGAGGCAGTTGAGACCCGAGTACCCAAAGGCGTAGTATACCTAAACCAAAAATGATAAGATTATACATTAATTTTATAATTTTTACAGGTATTCCACCTTCATATCCTTGAGGGCCACTGGTTCGGACATTTTCAGCTTGTGTTTGTTATCGCCCGCCATGATTTCCAGTAGCAAAGGCAAGTCCCTGGCGAATCTCGTGATCGGACCGATCTGCAGCATCTTGGGGAACTTCTTGTCCGTCAGTGAGTAGGGGAAGTGACCCTTGACCGAGGTCAGTCCGCCAGTGGGCTTGTGTCCAAAAACGCCGCAGAAGAGGGCCGGCAGGCGAATGGAACCGCTGATATCGGAACCCACTCCGAAAGTGGTGGCTCCACAGCCATTCAAAGATCCCTCACCGCCCGAAGATCCGGCGGAAGTGCGTTTCAGGTCGTACGGATTCAGGCAGCGCCCTTGGATATTGTTGCTGGTCTCGAAACTCATGCAGAACTCCGGATTGGCCGATACCAGAAGAGGTATCCCACCGGCAGCTCGGACCAGTTCCACTACATCGCCATCCTGGGCAGCTTTCATATTCTTTCGAGCAAGACTGCCCACGGCAAAGGATAGTCCTGTGAAGCAATCAGAAAATTAATAATAACCAGCAAAAATAGTCAATTTAATACCAGTTTTTAAGAAGATCCAAGAGTAATTTAAATAGTCAATAGATTAATATTAAAATAAGTATTGAAAATTATTAATTAAGTCCCTACACTATTAAATCACACTTTTAAAGTAAAAGCTTAATTTTATGAACTATAATCCTTGTTAACCTCAAGCTCTTACAAAAAATTATATTTTTTTGTCTTGGTAAGCTAAAAGTATGTTTAAAATTACAAATTTCATAAGCTTTCTTTTCTTAGTTTAAAACCTAATTTTAGTTATAATATATAGAGATAACAGGGTTTAATCTAATATACATTTATACAAAAATGTTCTTTTTTTTAAAAAAACCTTTCATACTTTGCTTTTTTAGACAACTTTTCAAAACCTTTTTGGGATTAAAAAAAAGAGGATAAAGGATTACCTTTGAGGCCGCACGACTCCTTGACTGTGAAGGGTATGCCCAGAATGGGATACTTGGTGTAAAGGGCCACTCGATCGAACTCCGAGCTCGCCTTCGCGATGAACTGATCCGCCAATCTGGCATCCTGCAGGGCAGCCTCGAAGCGATCCTCGACGACGGCATTCAGCGAAGGATTCACCTCCTGGACACGCGCTATATAGGCGCTAACCAACTCCACCGAGGTGATCTGGATGTGAACCCAAAAAATGACTTGCAAATACCCCGCACGAATGACGTAATTGGACTTGGAGACTCACCTCACCGCGTCGCAACTGGGTGACCAGTTCCACGACGGACTTCTTGAGCAGGGGATTACGAATGCCCGGATATTTGGGCTTCCGCCGGAGCAGCACTAGGTCCAGTATCTTATTCACCACCATGCCAAAGGCATTCAGCACAAAGGCCATGAGGCGTAGGAATATCTCCATTTCGAGCAGGCGGCGGGGTCACCAAAAGGTGTTCGTATTCAAATCGGTGGACTTCGAACGAACCTTAGCGGAAGTGGGTTAGCGATAGCTGGAAGTGGATCACCTCTGAAGCGAATTCGGGAGTGGCAACTGGAACTGCACCTGGATCACCACCGAGCACTTCGACTGCGGATCGCGGACTACGCGTGCCGACCGACACTCGCACTTATTTTCCCTTGTTTTCAATTTGAATTTGAATTTAATTTCAAAGTTAGCTGCGGCAGGCATTCCCCAACACTTGGAACCAATTTGGGTTGTTCTCAAAAACACCTCCAAATAAATTCCAACGCAATTTGTTTGGAGTTTTTGTTGGTTTGATTGAGAAAGATTTCCAAAAATCTCTAACTTAGAGATTTTGGAACTTTTTATAAAAGATTTTCTAAAACATTTTATTTATATGATCTGGGAATGTTTAAAATATTGCTAGTAACTTATTAAATCAATGAAGAAATTTTAAATTCAATTCTTTTCAAATCCATTTGTTGTGGTTCCCAAAATAAAATCAGGAAGTTTTTAAGCTAAAAAAAACTCAATTCAAACTGATGCCAAAAATAGGATCATCCCATTTCCCTTTGTCGCAAACGATGTCATTATTCATTCATGTATTTATTTAGTAATAATTTTAGTTATTGTTACACTTATCACTTACGTGCTAAAAAGAAACGTTAAACAAAGGCAAAAACTTGTTTAGCACATTACTCACTGGAAAACGAATCGAATCGGTTAACGAAACGGTTAACAAATAACAGATTACTTCAACAAAGAGAGAGAGAGAGAGAGTGTCAGAATGAGAGTGTGAACTCAGTTAGGCAACTTGGCAAAGGCGCTAAGGAGACGTCTATATATCCGTATAAGTTTAGTTGCTGGCTTGCGCAAAAATTGACATCTATGTAGCTATATTGTATGTATTTCTGTATGCTCTATACTCATGAATATTCACACAAAACTGTTGAACTTGTCTGGCATATATTATCCATGGACAATTACGTGGGTATGTTTGCTGGGATTCTTGCATTTTTAAAATCGTATATCTGCTGCAGGATTGACATGGAACTGGTTAACCCCAAGACGGCAACAGTTCGTCGAAACAGTTGAACACAGTGTTTGTTTTTTGCAATATTCTAAATTCTATTAACTACCAAAAAAACTGGCAAAGTAAAAATGTCTTAAGATGCTCTTAAACAAAATTAGGTACTTTTTGATAGTTTCCGACGAAGTGTTACCATTCAAGGAGTTCCAAGTTCCAGTTCTTTTCATTATTTTTCTATTGGCTAATCCATTCATATGTCCGATTACTCTTGATATACTCTGCGGAACAACAAAACAAGCACTTCTCTATTTTGGGATATGTATGAGTGTTATGGTTTCGGGGATTTTAGTCTCGTGTAATGTGTATATTCTTATGCTTACTCTATTTTATGGTATATTATTCACTATCATATCATATATTTTGCCTGGTTATCATAGATTGGTTATTAACATTAAAATATTTATTGTCTAAAACATTTCGCCCCGCTTAGTGCCACTCTAGACCTAGATGCATCCCAAACTATATAGTTTTTCCCCCCCAAACGATTCTAACTATTGCACACACCTTTGGCTACTTACAAATAACTCTTGCTCTCGCACAGATTAAATTTTGAATTTAATAAGTGTTCGGTGGCTGAGATCCTCGGGTTAATCCCTTTGGCGGAGCACTTTGGTTGGGGTTTATATATATATGTATATAGAAAACTTAAGGGCCTAGGGAGGATATGGGTTTGGGTTTCTTTTTTGGGACTTTTGAAGGCGCCAGGCTCTCGGGGCTCACAAGTGCCTGGTCCTTGTGTGGAAAGTGCAATGCCAAAGAGAAGTCCAGAGGAGCTTCGACTCAACCACCAACTAATCAACTAACCAACTAAACCACTTCTAGATCTCCAACCACCTTAGGTCATGTGCAGATCCCCCTTGAGGATGCGCGTAAAGGTCTTCTTGAACTGCTGATTGGCCAAAGCATAGCAGAATGGATTCATGGGGCTATTGGCATAGCAGAGGAAGTACGAGAACATGTACAGGTGCTCATTGATGCACGGCGGATGCCGGCAGAATCCCTCGACCAGGGCCAGCACATGGTAGGGTGTCCAGCAGGCCACGAAGCAACCCAAAATGAACGAGATCGTGCGGAACGCTTTGCGGGCACGATTCTCGGACTTGGACTTCTGCCTGCCACCGACTCCAAGGATCAGGGGCAGGGCCTTCTTGCTCTTGAAGTGCTTGCCTATCGAGTGGATGAAGGCCCGCTTGCTGGAGTTTCGACTGGCGGCCAGACCCTTCTCCTCTCTGGTTGCGTCCTGCTCCTCGGTGTCCTTCTTGGTCTCCTCACCACCTCCTCCACCCCCTCCACCCGTACTGCTGGTGGTGCCCGAGGTGGAGGGCATCTTGTTGGTATTGCTATCCGAGGCCTCCCGCTCCTCAATCCTTTCGAGGACCATCTGTGGTGGTGGTGCCGTCGCCGACTGTGGTGTTCCCGTCTGCGGCGTTTGGGTCTTGACCTTGGGTGACAGGGGCATCGGCATGGGTGGCATCGGGGAGTAGAGTATGGCGTCCTTGCTGCTCGTCTCCATGGGACTGGAGGCCCTCCGGTGGGGACAGTCGGCCGTCAGCTTCCCGGGCACATCCAGCAGGCAGATGGCCTCGATGCAGCTCTCCCGCCTCACCTTGGCAAAGTCCTCGATGCCTGTGTACGATACGAGAAGACGTTTTTCAATGGCCACCGCCTCCTCGAGACTCTGACTTTGACTCTGACTCTGGTTGTGATTCGGATTCAGGTTGAGGCTCAAGCTTTGACTGGGACTCTGGCTTTGGCTTTGGCTTTGGCTGGTGGGGGTTTGGCTCAAGCTTTGATTGAGGTTCGGTTTTGGTGGATTTCTGCGTGCGGGCGGTGGTGGAGGCAGGACTGGTGGTGGTGGTGGTTTCCCCTGGACACTGTCGTTCGGGGAGGTGATGGTGGCCATCATGGCGGAGCTCTCATCCATATACCGTAGCTCCGAGTTGGTCATCAGGTCATAGGTCAGGGCCAGTTCGCTGTTGCCCGAACTGTTGCCAAAGGGACGATCCGAGTAGTCCTCGGACAGCGGGGTGGGGCACTGAAAGGCGTCAGGGGGTGGCAAGATGGTCTGCACCAGACCCTGGTGCACTTCCTCGCTGGGCACCTCGATGGGGGCCAGGTCCACGGGGGACAGGGGATCACTGGTGTTGCGGTGAGGTGGTGGTGGTGGTGGGGCCGACAGGTCAACCAAACGATCATGCTCGGCAATCTGGGAGAGGGTGGAGCAGGAGGTGCGCTTGGGCCTGTCCAGCGGTGGGTTCGACTGGTTCTGGTGGTGGTGCTGGTACTGATGGCTCTGATTCTGGTTCTGATTCTGGTGGTGCAGGGAGCGCACCTCTTCCTTGCTCTGCGCCCGCTGCAACGGACTCTGGTTGTGGTGGTGGTGCTGTTGGTGGTGGTGGTACTGGTGCATGGCCTCGATGGACTTGGAGTTGGTGGTGCTCTTCTGCAAGTTACCTTTGCCCCGTGTGGCCAGCAAGGCGGCCTGTGCCCCGAAGACCAGACCGATCGACGATCGCTTCCGCATGTTGTTCAACTTCTGCTGGGTGATCAGCTGCTGGGCCTGGTTGACGGAGGACTCCTCGTCGGAGTCGAAGGCCGGACTGCTCGATCTCTCGCTCTTCTCCGCATCCACGGCTGCCTCTCGCTTTTTCGCCTCCTCCTGGATCTTCGCCGCCGAGGCTCTCCGCTGCTCCGGTGTCATCTTCTCCACTTCCTCCGTGGCCGTGGCCAGGGGATTGGCCTGACCTGAACCACTCAACCTCTTGATCACGGTGGTGCAGGCACTGTCCAAGTCGGTTTGATCCCCCGCCAGTTCCACCTTGGTCTTCAGGATCTTCTCCTCGATCACCCCAATGCCGGCCGCATGTCCTGCCATCCCGGACATGGCCCCGGCACTCAAGGCCACCATGGACTGCATTTTCCGCTGCTTGGCCTCACTGCGCTTCTGCATATCGTAGGCAGTTTTGTAGATCCCGGCATAAAGCACAAACAGCACGATCAGCGTGGTCCAGTAGTAGCCAATGATCAGGGCAGTATTGAAGATCGGATCCTTTAGAAACTGCACGGCACACTGACCGGGTAAAAGATCCCTCTTCCCGGTGAAGTGCTCCCATCCAAAGATCGAGATGAAGAAGAGCAGGGCGGGTATGATCCAAGTGATCGTCACCATGTAGATCACCCGCGTTCGCGTTCTCCAACTCCGGTACTTGGCCGCGATCTTCACCGAACAATAGCGATCTATGGTGATCAACAGCACCGTGTATTGGGACACCAGGCAGACCGTGTAATCCACCGAGAGCCACAAATCACACAGCATCGGACCTAGGTCCCAGTAGCCTTTGAGCACATATATCGTGTAGAAAGGCATCGAAACGGTTCCTAGAAAAATCAAGAGAAAAGTTAGGATTAGGTATAATTATAATTTTTTAAATAAAGTTCAAAATAATGTCTGTATACTAAGAGATATCTAAAGATTTTATTTGATTTTAAATTGTGAATGAAACTATGTCATAAAAATCTGTATAGTTTTGAAATCACTTATAAAGATGTCTAAAAGTATGCAAGAGAGAAAAGTTGTCTTTCTAATGGATTAAAAATATATTGTAGCATACTTTTAGAGGCCTTTATAAGTGATTTTAAATCCTATTGATTTCAGTACCTTTCTCTAATGTTAAATAATGATGAAAGTTTGTTACTTTATTTTCCGAAATATTTAGAAAGTTCTCACCTATCAGCATATCCGTGGCTGCCAGCGAGGCGATGAAGTAATTACTTGGCTGCCGGATATTCCTGTCCACGATGAAAGCTAGAAGCACCAGGATATTGCCGCCCACAGTCAGAATGATGCAGATGGCCAGACAAATGGCGATCAGGATGGTCTGCCACAAGGCGAAGGGCGGCAGAACCGGACCGAGGATTTCCGAACCGGAATTGGACTCCGACATGGTGGAACCACCGCCCTCCGAGGAATGATTCCTCAGGCCCAACAGAAGGTTCGTGTTGTTGACATCGAAGGTGCGGTACCATTGCAGCTGATCGTTCACCGACCACGAACTGAAGTCACTACTCTCGCCGTAGATCTTCGCCGCCTCCAGGAGTCGTTTACACTCCGTGTGGGTCAGGACCCGCTTGAAAATGACACTGCACAGCTTTTCACGCTCCCTTCTGAGGCTCCTGAAATTGGAAAATATATTATAACTAACTACTTTAAGAAATAATCAGCTATTTGGCTTCAAGAATATAATCTATCTACTATTAAAGACTTTACCACAAAACCTTTTAATGTATTTATAAAAGTTAAAGTTCTGTTCAATGGATTTTTGATTTTCTTAACATTTCTTTTAGAGTTTTCTATTTTCTAAAAAGCTTTGTAATAAAGTTTTCAACATAATACAGGAATTACACTTTTGAAAGGCGCCTTTATTGTATTAAGTTCACTTACCAGTCGGTGATCCACTTGCTCTTGATGGTATAGATGGAGTCGCTGGAGTTGCCATTGAGGCCAGCCAACTCCTCCTCCGCCGCCGACTTGTTAAGCGACCGCATTTCAAACCGCTCTCCCCTCGTCACCCCGATCTGCCCTCTACCCTCTGCCCTCTGCCCTCTGCCCTCTTCCCTCCTGCCGCTGCCCCGCACTCCTCGTCCCCTGCGGTCTTTATGGTAATTTCAAGTTGGTCCTCCTTAATGTGCTGCCGTCGACGTCTTGTCCCGGAATGCTTACATTGCCTCCACGGAATGCCAGGACTTGTCTCCGGTCAGGTGCAGCATCTGCAAAGGGCAACAAAAGCATGTCTTAGTCCTGATTCACACTGAGACAATATTATACAGGATATTAACATATGCAAATTTGTGAGACATATTGGCTAATTAATACTTATTTGATTTGAAAAGGGTTAGACTTGTTGCTATCCCAAATGATTTCTTATCTATTATTTGTAGGTTTTATCCTTCTTTTTAGGTATTACATTAACACTGATATAAAACTTAAGATCATCCATATCATTTTTATATATTTAGGTTCTAACTATTATGACCATGATCACATATATTATAAATTATAGGATATTGTTATTGGCAAAGAGCTGTTAGATAAAGCACTTTGTCTATTGCATTGAATTCATCAGACATCCGTATTCGAAAAAGAGTTTTTAACTTCTCTCAACACTTTTATATATGATATATAAAATCCTAGTGATTTCTGTAGTACGTCCTATAAATATCCTTGTACTTGAGATAAAGTAATAAATAATTGAACAGCCCTTGAGTTATTTATAAACTTTCTTTCTGTGTGGTTCGAGTTGGCGTCTTTGCTTCCGCCAAGTTTAAACTAATTTTGCAACCGTTAACTGGCAACCGGCGACTGGCGATGCAATTTGCTTGTGGCAGTTGCTTCCTGCCGATGCTCCTGCCACTGCCCCCTGTCCCTCCTTTGTCCTGTGCCACTCTGTTATGTTGCCTCATTATGTTACGGCATGATTTGCTTATGGCTCTGCCACTTGAGCTTCCAGAGGCCTTCCTTCGCCGCCGTCGCCTTTTCTATTTTTCTATGTCTTTTATTCAGTGATTTTCTTGACCTTTTTATATCCCAGTTCTGGGTATTCTATTTTGAGTGACTTTTGGTAAGGTGAAACTGGAAACAGTATTAAATAAATTAAATTTTAAATATTGAAAAAGGGTAAAGAACAAAATGTTTAACTAAAGAATCTCATCCATCCTTTAAATAATCAACTTTATTTGACTTGTGAAATATATAATATAATCCACTGTTTAAATAAATTACAACTAAACAATTTATTAGAAGCCATTTTAACTGAACAAGCTTTCAAGTTAATAATCAAGTTAGAGCAGAAATAAAATACCTTTATATGCGTTAGTTAAAGCAAACTTTCTTAGCGTATCTTAAAGTCGACCCACAAAGCCCCACAGTTGACTTGATGTTATTCAAACCTAAATGCTCGTGTTCACAGGCAGGGCGAACTTGCAACTTCCGATGGGGTCACTTGGAGGCCAGAGGCTGGCCAACTTCTTGACTGTTGCATTTGGCCCAAGGAATCCACCAAAGTTGTCCTTGTTGTTTGTTATTTTTAGAGTGCGCGAGGCTGGGAAAACAAGGTGAGGGCATAAAGCGGCAGGACGAAATTGAGTTTTGCAACTTTTCAAATATAATTTCCAAACAAATCGATAGGACAAACTTGTGGAGCGGCCTCTTCTTTGGCAGGCAAATTCCACAAGGGACAATCGAGTTATCCGCTGTTGCATCCTTGCAAGTGTTGCATCCTTGCAGCTCGGCACGTCCGCCGGCACTTTGACTGAGTGGAAATTGAATTAGTTGCGACAATTTGTTTTCATTTAATTCCCAAAACATTGCCACAGCTAAGATATCCGGCTAACGAAGTTAGTTGGCAGAAAGGCTGCTTCCTTAATCCATCAGCATATGCGAAAAGCCCCAATTGACAGCTGTCAGACTCTGTCGCCCCCGGGCTTTTGTCATCGGAAACCCGAAACCGAACCTTCCACAAAACCCCTTTACCAAACCCAAATCAAGGAGCAGTCCCAATTTCTATGCTAATTGAGGGCCATCCCTTAAAAGAGTGTGCGAGTTAAGCGCTTTTATTGCGTGAATTTCTCACCAGAAAGTGCTTAAATCTTGAAATGGGTTGAGCCTCCACAAAGGTTACAAAAAGGCATTACAATTAGCAAATAGTTAACGGCAGGGATTAGAGGATTTGGAAAGGCTTAGCGTAGTATTTTGTAGTTGTTAGTAACCTTAATTTTGGAGAGTTTATTTTAATCAGCTGCTTGTTAAAATAAAAGTATTAATTATGAATATTAATTGGCAAAATGTTAGGGAACGGCTCTTTATTTTATATTATTCTATATCCGCAGACTCTTTTTTGTTTCAGGCTTTTAGAATATCTCACAAACTAATATTAGTTATACCTTCCTATACTCTCCTACACTCCATAAACATTATTGTTTCATATTGATGTTAACACCCTTCAGTTACAAATAAGTTCTTTATTGACTTTTATTCGATAAGTGTTCTGTTATGTCCCAATGTCCCTGTTGGTAAACAAAACTCTAATTCCACTCCCCAACCTCCGTGGTTTTCCTTAACTATGTCGTAATAACCTTTTACGAAGTCCCAGTGGCACAGAAGCATTCTCGCCACACAACACGTGAAGTAATAATCCCGCTTAAGGACCTTAAGCCTTTGTCTAGTTGACCACCGAGTTGAACGGAGCTTTTCCTGCTTGTGCTCCTGTTCCTGTTCCTGGAAGTCCCGGACTTCCACGTTGACCGCACAACAAAAACAGAAGGCAGCAGAAAGCTGTAAGATCAAAGCGTTGATCTGGCGGGGTGGAGTTGGTGGTGGTGGTGACTCGGTCACAGTTTCCGGCTTCCATGGAAACTTTGTAGTGACTACACTTAGAGAACCACAAGCTATCATTCATACTTCATAAAAATCATCAGGGCTCAATAATTTAAGATTTATTTAAGATTTTATGGGGTGAATATTTTTAGGTGAAAATAACTTATGTTTCTCCCTTTAATAGAATTTATTTAAAAGACTCTAATTTTATTTGAAAAATAATAATCTAACCCATTTTCTAGTTAAAATATTTTATTTTATATACTTTTGCAAATTTATATCCTAAAGCCCAAAACCTTTTTATAAATTTCATTATAATTCCCAACTTCTTTTTTCGGAATCATTATGGTAGCTATTACAATTATAATAAAGCATAATTTGGCAATGAATTTAACATTACTTTATTTGATGGATTTTTAGAATGTACCTCAAACAATTTATTTCCAGTGCAGTAAAGCGAGGGTTTCTGTTGCATTCTGGCCTTTCGTATCTCGCATCTCCCTGCAACGGACATAGCTTGGGCTTAAAACCGAATCGAGGTTACCGAACGAATGACACACGGTCTGAATGGCGGGGATATAGGAAGTACTGGGTTTTCAGCGGGGGCTATAGCCAAGCCGTTAGCTTTGTTTGCACAACTCAAAGTTGTTGGCATTCTTGGCGTGCGCTCAGAAAGTGAAATATGTAAGCAATGTGTCTGCCTGAATCGCTGGCAAGGCCCAAGGGATCAAAGGGGGTGGGTAAGGCGGGGGGAGGATGGGGGAAAAGGTAAGGCAGCAGCAGCACCTTAAATCAGCAATTATGTCGCGCAACTTTTGCCAGGTGGCAGGTGCAAAAGGGAGGGCAATAAAAAAGGGATTGGCTACCCCCTTGTTAGATAAGATTTTGCTCGCTCTTGTTGCCATAATAACCCGCTTTTGCCTTTTGCCGTTTCCTGTTTTTTTTTTTTTTTTTGTTGTGCCTTTTTAATAAACTTATTAAATGTGTAAGCCAGCCGTTGTCCTTGCCATCGCCATACCTCATCCTTTTTTTCGGCTTTTATTTGGCAAATAATGAAAAGTAATTTAATCAAGCCAACAAAAGGGCTACGAAATTCATCAGGAAAGATAATGGAAGTCCCAAATTTGATTGGCACTTGAACCGTTGGCTCCTTGATTTCTTTTTCTGGCCACCGACATAGGGGTCTCCAATCGGGATTCGTTGTGGGCTTGTTGTGTTAATTGCCTGCACAAAGAACCTGCAGTGTCGGTTAGCGGCTTCCAATCATGCGCTAATATCCGCATCACCAAAAGCTTTGAGGGCTGCATCCATAATCCGGCCAACCGAAGGTATGATGCTGGCTGGAATGCCTGGCATTCTGGAGCGTCGAAAACTGTCAACGGCCATGGGGCGTTCTTTTGTGCCCGGACCCTGGCCGCAGATTATGATTTTGACAGCATTCTCTTGCCGGTGGAAAATGGGGAAAAATGGGGGGGCACTACCACGACCAGGGAATAACGGGCTGTGTGCCGCATAATCAACTTGTGCAAGTGCGGCCGGCAAGTTTTAATTACAAAACGTTCAGGCTCTTTACTCTACTTCCACAACCACTTCCACTTCCATTTCAAGCTCTCCTCTGTTTAATTCATCTAGCTTCTAGATTAACATTCTGCACTTTTTTCGTGCCTGCCTTTTGTTGACTCCCTGGGAACTACTTGGCACGCGCATTTTAATCAAAGTAAAATTTTAAATAAATATTAGAGACGCACAGCGTGATGAATAATTTCGGGGCTGCCGCGCTCTCAATTGTCTGCCTCGCATGGGCAATTTCAATTTTAGCTACGTCAGCCCGAGAATTGTGGGGTGCACAGTGAAAATACTTAGTCATCATTCCTTATTAGCCAAAAGAAAATGTTAAATTTTAATATATAATTAAAATTTTGAAAATAGAGCCAAATACATCGGTTTTATAAGTTTTTGATGGAATAATTTTTTTAAACTGGCATACGTGTCGTATGAGTAATTTTAAAGGAAGCTGAAAAATAGAATGTATTTTGTTTTTAAAAATACCAAATACATCGGTTTCATAAGTTTTTGATACAATAATTTTTTTAAACTGGCATACGTGTCGTATGAGTAATTTTAAAGGGAGTTGAAAAATAAAATGTTTTGGTTGTAGAATATACTTATTGGCAACCAAAATTTCACATATTAAACTTCATATAAAATCTGATAATATATGTAAATAGCTACCATAGGAAAGGCTTACATAAAATCAATTTCAAAGATTTCCCTATAATAAATTGTTTTGAAGAACCACAGTAAAGCCCAATTTTGTTTACATTTTCTTCACGTGTGTTCGCAAGAAGCTCTGTGGGTGTTGTTTGCATGGTGGGTGGCACCGTGTCGAGTCGGT